CACAATATTCCAGATATGGCCTCCCCAGGGCAGAGTACAGGTGCAGGAAGACCTCTCTCAACCTACTAGCTACTCCCCTTCTAATACACCCCAGGATGCCATTGGCCTTCTTGGCCACAAGGGCACATTGCTGGCTCATGGGCACCCTGCTGTCCACCAGAACCCCCAGGTCCCTTTCTCCTACACTGCTCTCCAACAGGTCAGTCCCCAACCTATACTGGCACATGGGGTTGTTCTTCCCCAGGTGCAAAACTCTACACTTGCCCTTGTTGAATTTCATAAGATTTCTCCCTGCCCAGCCCTTCAGCCTGTCTAGGTCTCTTTGAATGGCAGCACAGCCTTCTGGTGTGTCAGCCACTCCTCCCAGTTTTGTGTCATCAGCAAACTTGCTGACAGTGCTCTCTAATCCCTCATCCGGGTCATTTTATGAATATGTTGAAAAGCACTGCTCCCAGTACTGACCCCTGAGGGATTTCATTTGAATCAAATGTGATGTGAGCTGGATGATAAAAGTATATGTTAGGGAATGAATATATGTTAGGGAATGAATGAGCTGGCCCTTCCCATTGTTTTCATTCTGGCCTATGTTTGTCCAACAGCATCAGGACAGCGTGGCCTCACACAGAAGAACAGAGGTGGGAACTTGCAAAGTGAAATGTTGTGCCCACTGCTGGGACCGTGGAAGAGCTATGCCTGATGTCATCAGGGAGCTGTAGAGATTAACTCGTTAAGATTTGTGCAGAACTGTATTTTAGTCCTCTGCAAAGCTGTTAAACACAGAACATAGCTTAAGTGCCACATTACAATGGGTGCAAGTTTTGCTATTGAGTTTTCAGTACAGTATTCTATTTGTGTATATTTTTGCATAAATATTTTTCAGTATTAGTATCTGTAAATCTAAGTATCCTTTTGCAAGATCTTTACTATATTTTATACTCTGCTAATGTTTTTTGTTCTTTCACAGTGACATTTACTAGCTGTTTTGATTTCATTTCTCCAGCTGCTCTCTTGTGGCCTTCTTGAAAAGCTGAAGTTCAGTGTTTTAGAACTGCAGGAGTACCTGGACACATACAACAACAGAAAAGAAGCAACACTCTCGGTATGCTGGGTTATGTTATGTTCTTGGTTTTGTACATGTGCATGCTTATGCGATGTCAGGAGACTGCAAATACAGTCAGATCTGTTTAAACTAATATTCAGCAGAACAGTATGTTTCAGATACTGATTTCATTAAATGTTTCTTTCTGAACATACGAACCAGAACTAAAAAAATAGCTATTGTATCCATTGATTTTAGAAACACTGGCATTTTAATATTCATGATCTCTCCTTTCTTCTGTTCAGTAATTCATTCTATTGTTTTTTGCAATTCAAGTACTAATAGAAATCAAGACTACACTTTTTAAATGACAGTCAAAGCAAATTGTCGTAGTCCATGTGAATAAAAAGTGCAATTGCAAAATTTTATTTGCTTGCATGCTGTGATGTGAAACTGAAATACTGCTTGCCTTTCTTCAAATCAAACTGTAGGCCTTATACCTACTTTTAATTTCTCTCTGAAAACAGTGGCTTGCAAACTGCAAAGCAACATTTGCTGGGGGCTCACGAGATGGAGTTATTACCTGCCAGCCAGGGGACTCGGAAGAAAAGGTAATGAATGAGTGGTATTATTTCTCTCCTGTAAAGTGACACGTGTAATATATCTTGCTCTCAGACCCAGGAGAGCCTGCTGTACATCCTCTTTGTCTCTTTCCTGGGCTCAAGGCCCAAAGGTTTTGCTGTTGCCTTGGTCCTGGCCAAGTATTTAGAGGCAACACTTGGGCCTTCCTAGTCTGGATGAGGAAGCAGAACTAAACCTTGACTGGGTTGCATGTGCTTTCTCTTTGATAAAGATGTTGTAGCAGCAGTTTCTTACAGCACAGTGTCTCTAAAAATCACGCCTGTTGCACTGTGCTCACACATTACGCTCATTTTTTCTATGGCTGTTACAGACTTGGTCTGCCCAACAGTAAAACTTGCCTGGTTGAGATACACTTAGATTGGGGGTTAGGAAATAATGACTGTAAAATGGCCAGTGAAATTATTTATGCTGTAGATAAGTATTTGTGGCTAAGGCAAAAGATCTCTTTATCACTTCTGAACAAAAGTTTTACATGCACATGTGCATATATACACACACATAAATATATATATATTTAGTGTATTGATTCCAGTTAAGATTCAGTTTCAGAAATCAGCACCATCA